TTTCTCTCCTTTCACCAAATTTGTTTCTATAATCCTTTGAGTCACAACTCCAGCTTTATTTAGTAATCCTTCCTCATTCACACATCTCCAAGTATATGAAAATATTCCATTTCCACTCAAAACTAAAATATGAATAAAGGTTTATGGCTTTGTGAAACTTATTTTTTGAGTTTATGCCGTTGAAATAAATAATTAATAAAAAAATTAAAACATTTGTCGGTTTTGTTTACACCTTTATTGGGCCGCATTTGAACTTGCCTTGGGCCGCATGCGGGCTGCGGGCCGCGGGTTGGACACCCCTGCTCTAGGATAAATCAACACAGTTTTTACCATATAGAAATATCTGATTTTATGATCTCCCCAGATAGACTGACAATTATGAAAATATGGTATATAAAATTTTTTGGCAAAAATGAAAACTTTAAATTATAGAAGAAGAATTTAAATTTCCTGATGTTATACATTTAATAATTAAAAACAGCATGAAATTTAAAAATGATAAGATTAAATTATAAAAAAACCTCACAGACTGGGATTGAATCCAAAAACAACCTCCATATATAATCATTCTTCATGCTACTTCACAAATCAGTCTTCCAAATTGGTATTTTAATGGTTGTAGAAAAACTTTTATCCCAATTTTCTCAAGAATTCCCAAATAGTGTGTTCTGTGGATTTGATAGAGTTTAAGCACAAGAAAATACTATATATCTACAAAATCTAATTGAAATTGGTGATTACAAACTGCCAGGTTTTCCCTTGTTAGTTTTGCTGGGTTGATTTGTATTATTTGTTGTGTGTGAGTGAGATGGTATTGTTATTGTGATTCTTGTGTTGATTCTGAATTTGTTTTTGACAGAGATTGTGGTATATTTTTCAAATGCAAGCTTCTGCTTTAATCATGAATGTAGATCTTGTCTACTATGACAATATTCGAGCCAGTATTGTTCAAATGTGTCAGAACTGTTTTAATTTTCTCCATAAAAGTGAGTGCACTTATTTACCTAAGGCTGAATGTATAGATCCACCACTGCTAATATAGAACAGACACTATTTTGTAGTTGCTCTATCTAGGTCAGATACTGTGTATGTGCCATTCTTTGTTTCATCTTTCCCTGCAGATTTTATTGGTATGGTAGCTGTATTGGAGACTTATGCTTTCACTGGCATTACTATTTGAACTATTGAGCTGTCTCACCCTGACAAGGTGGTGACCAGTGAAAAAATTATCAATATTAATATTATTATTTTTATTTTTATTAATAATCTTTTATATTCATGTAGATACAAGAAGAAATGAATATTCCTTTGCTGCATGTGAAGAAATTTCTTCAGATGAAGAAATGGAAAATCCAATTTTTTTGAATTATGATAATTCTAATTGTCATGATGGAAGTGAAAAGCATATATCTCAGTTCTTATCAAAGGAAACAAGGTATAGTGGTGAAGATGCATTCACATATCTTTTGTTGTATAAATATATTATATAATTAATATAACAAAAAAGATACAAAATCTTAAACCAAATACTTATTTTTAAAACTGATATTGTCTTTTATATATTTACAGAAATTGCCAGTTTTATCAGCCTCCTAATCATCGTCCAAGACTCTTACTTTCTGGAAAGAAAAGTCAAGGTCAGAGCATGCATTTAGCTCCAGCAATCTTACATTATCTAGAGCATATTCCGGTCCATAAGTTAGATTTGCCTACTTTGTATACCGGAGCTTTTCGAACGCCTGAAGAAGCTTGCGAGCAAGTCCGTATTTATAAATTTGAAAAGTTTAGTTCTTGTAAATTTAAAGAGTTTTTAGGGTTTTATTTTTATTTCTGTTTTCTAGATATTTCGAGAAGCAAAGCGAAATCTACCAAGCATTATATACTTGCCTAGAATTGGAAGAATGTGGAAAACTCTTAATGAAACTGTACAAGAAACTTTTCTCACTCTTTTGCATGATCTCGAATCTAGTGCACCTCTTTTAATTTTGGCAACAAGTGATTGTCATTATCATGAATTACCATCACAGGTACAGCTTAGTTTATTTTAGGAATATTAAATTAGTACAGTAGAGTCTCAAACTCGGCCTAATGTGGACCGAAGGGTGGCCGAGTTTGTGAAAATGCTGGGTTATTAGGAATGGGGTTTAAAAAAATAATTATGAGTGTTTCCTCAGAAAATACTGTACTGTACTTGTATGTATTGTGTGCTTGAGAATACAACAGAGAATAAATTGCCCAAATACCCTTAAAGGAAAAGTACATTTATGAAGGCATAGAGTCTTTACTACATGAAAATGAAAATTAATGAATATGCTGTGTACAGTAATTTATCTGATAAGACAGACCTCAGAAAAATACTTTGAGGCATAAAGATATCTATAATGAAAATTAATTAACTAAGGATTTTTTTGCCCTGCCAAGGTGTGGCCGAGTTATCCAGACTGCCGGGTTATCTAGTGCCGAGTTTTTGGGACTCTACTGTATTCCCATATTGTTTTAATAATATCAAATGATTTGTGTATATATTTTGAATACATAAAATTTATAGTTTTTATTAATGTTTCACTTAATAATTACCATAAACAATCATTTAATTTTGGGATAGAAGCCTTCCTCAGGCACAATATCACATACTGTAATTTACTTTGTATAATCCAAGGATTATTTGTTTTAAAATCAAGTGCAGCATATACTTTGTAGCAATTTTTCATGTTATATGTCTCTGTTGGTTAAATACAGAAAATTACAGCTAATTAAACTACAGTAATCCCTGCCGCAGACAGATTGGTTATTGTTATATTAGTGAAGTGTAATACTATGATAATTACCATATTTTTAGAAGAAACTAAACTAGTCTTTTATGAAGTAGATTGTATACATATGCTTAATGTAATCATTTTAGATTTTGTTAATGTGATAATAATAAGCAAATGATAATGTTAATCAAAGTAAGTAAACAAAGTACAGTTAGTGGAAATTATTGAAGATTTATTAATTAATAATATATAGTTTATTCAGTATTGTTTTCTTATTACTGTATTTACAACAGCTAGCATTTTAAGTAAGAATCCAAAGTTACAGGAAGAATGTTAGGACTGTTAGGCATACTATCAGCTAGACTGTTAGGAAAATGTCAAATAACATTTGACATTTTTCTAATAGTCTAACTTGTGGTTGTTTTCAAAATTAAAGATTTTTGTCATCTCATCATCAGACTGTTGTAATTTAATGAACATTAATTACACTGCAGTGGTTTGATAACAGAATGTTGAACATTTTAAAAAAGTAAACTTTTTACTTAATAAAAAGAAAGATATTTTTTTGCTTCTTGAGAACTTGAGTGTTTGTTTGATTAATCTGTTTATTTGATGGAGCCATTACATTTCCAGAATGCTAAAAACATTTTAATTAAAAAATATTTACTTGCATACAAATAACTTAAATGGTCAAAATGACTAATTATACATAATAATTTAACTAAACTATTCCTTGTATTATTCCAAACACTTGGTTTAAAGACATCTGCACTCGAAGAAACAAAATGTTCATACAGAGTAGCAATAAACTATTAATATATTTTTAACTGTATTAAATGGACTTTGTCACAAAATAAACAGTATGAAAAACCTAGCAGCAAGAAAATTAATCTTTATGTTGAATTAAAGCAAGTGTTTTTTGTCATTTTAAATGGTCCATTACCAGGCAACTAAATATTGCATATTTAATTTACAGTATATAATGTAATAGAACATATAAAGTAATGAAATGAAAAACAGAGTTCACATATAAAACAAATATTAATAATAAAATTTTTAAAAATAATGAAACTTTAAAATCGAATACATATAACTTAAACAACAGAAATACAGTAAGACCTTGCTTAACATGGGGGATATGTTCCTAGATGACAAAGTGCTAAATGAAACAGCATTAAATGAGGTCATTTTAACTTAGAGTAAATAGGGAAAGGGGAACATGTGACCAAAAATAAACAAATTTTACTTTAATTTTAAGCTATATTATTATGCAAATTAATATAAAAATATGTTAAATAACACACAAACATATGCACACAGAAATGTAAAGTTCATTTTTTGTGATGAAGGTCCTGACTTTTCTGAAATTCTTGTTTTTTCCATAAAGTTGCATAGTTTCATTTGTCACTTTTTTCTTTCCTAAAGCAAATGTCAGTAGCAGAAGATTGCATCCAAAATGCCTTGTTTTGCTTTTGCACTTCTTTCAAAACCTGGATCATTCGCTACAATTTGATCAATGATTTTAGTTGTCATTACTAAACTTTTACTAAGGAAATCTGTAGAGAAATTTTTTGTGTTCTTTGTTTTCAGAATCACTATTTTTCAGTTCTACGTGAATTCCTTGTTCTGCCAGTTCTTGAAGGTCATTGTTTATTTTAAATGTTCTATTTTATGCATTTTCTTATGATTTACATAAGCTTTTACCATAGAAAAATGTTTTAAATGTTTCTGATTTATAAATAGAGTATCTAAACTTAAAACATTTAAATGCTGTTTGTTCTATATTTCTACAGACAAGTATTGTTCTGTTCTGTTTATCAGAGGACGAAAATTTAATTTGTTTAAAGTACTAAGTTTTAAATGTCTTATACAATATACGTATGTTTATTATTAAATTTTAATACCAAAAGACCATTATTATCTCCTGTATATCCTTCAAATATAAATATCGAAAATTTTCTTATAAAGACTAGAGGACTCTACAATGGCTGCCAACTACAGTAAATAGGACTTCATTATTTGGTAATTTTGTGATTGTTTTGGACATCTTATCTCTAATACATGCAGTTATTGGGTAAAATATCTGCCAGTTTTTGAAATTTACTAGTTAAATCTATCTATATAACCCATTAAACACGTGTCCATCCGTCTGTCCACGTAACGGTATGCCAAAAATGGTCACTAGAGGCGCCCTAGCGATGATTTTAAATTAACAATAAATTATTTTTATTTGTAATAGGAATTTATTATTGATATGAATTTATTATTTATACCATGGAATGGTATAAATAATTATTATATGCCTTGCCTTGCCTTATTATATGCTTGCGTTGCACGTTTACAACATCCCGTGACTCACAAGTCAGTGAATGTCGCGCATTGACTCACAGGAAATTTGTTTAAAAAAATGGAGAAAAAAAAAATAATAAAAAAAAAATGATACATTTAAAATCGAGGTTTACAACCGAAGGTAAATAAACAAATTAAACTATTTTAAAGTTTTATAGAATGTTTAATAGATAGAAATATAGATCCAATGATACAATTGAGACTTTAACAGAACTGTAGAGCATATTGATAGAAACAAAAGTCAAAGGAACTGTGCCTCGTGGGAATTTGTAAAGAACGCCCACTAGGGGCGTCCCAGGCCACTAGTTTTCATAATAAATGACTAGAAATTATTTTATGAAAACCAGCAATGAGTTGTATAACTTTCCTGACTGTTAAGAGTTTTTATTAAAATAAATAACTTTTATATTATTAAGCAAAATAAATAAAATTGTGTAGAGCCATCTGTTATAAGATTGTTATAAAAAAACTTTTTATATTTTTAAATACTATAAAATGGCAAAAAGCTTAATTTTGTGAGTAGAGATGAGTTTTATATATTAAAAAAAAATGTAAGTGTTAATAATAAATAAAATCTTTATTACGTTCTGCCCTTTCATGATATGACACATGATACCTCTCTATCTCCCCACTCCCTCAATCTTTAACCACCAAAATTTAATGGCATCAATGCCTCTCATGTACAAGCCACCATGTCAAATTTCACTACTTAATCTTTACCCCGTTTTGAGATGCTAACACAGATAGATAGATAGATAGAAAATATTTTGCCCATTTTTTTCTTTTTTGGATTCAGGAGGTCTCAAAATGTGGAGATTTGCAAAAAAACTCAGAGGGTCAAATTTGACACAATTTCAATACTTTCCCTTGTTATGTATATAAAACAGCTGTGAAAATAAAATGAGAAAAACTGAAGATGATTACACAATATTAGGAATTGTTTGTTTGGTTCAGTATACAAAACTTTGTTCATTTCATTTGTTGTTTTTACAGATCAGTCTTCTTTTTCAGCTTAATCTGGAAAACTGTATTTGAATAAAGATTATGTAGATGTTAATATTTTTTTTGTATTCATAAAACGTTATATAAATTTGAATATATATTATTACTTCTCTCATTAATTACTTGTAAAATGTTTATTTTTAAACAGATTCAGGATATGTTTGAGTTAAATGAAGGAGAAGTATTAAGAATGGAAAATCCAAATAGTGATGAGCGAAGAGAATTTTTTTCCAATCTTCTATTACAAAAAGTGTTTCTTCCTCCTAAACAAAAAAATAAAAAAGGTAAGATTTAGGAGTTAATAAATGAAATAGAAAAAAATTTTAATTGATAAATACTTTTTGTAAATTGTGAACTTTTTTCCTAAAAGAATTTGTCATAAATTCTGCATACAGATGGTTGTGGCAATTGGGATGCAAGCCTGCCTCTCCAAGCTGAATCTGAGCAAGTGACTCCAGAATTTTTTTGCGGGTAGTCTGTCAGATGATTCTACTCCTTCCCTTACTCTATCTCATTGTAGGTTCAGCAAATTTGTGATGTGTGTAAAAAGACCCTCTGGTGCCCATAGGGCAGAAACATACATATCCTCACACTCGCAATCCAAACAGGGTGAGCAGCAGTCAAAAAGAGACTACAATGTTATAAACTATTCATTCAGCAACTTCCTCTACACCAGGGGTGTCCAACCTTTTTGTTTCTCTGGGCTGCATTGGAAGAAGTCAAGGAGTTTTGGGCCACAAGTATATTTAAGGATTAACATGTCTAGATTATAATAATAAGTATTAAAACTTTATCACGAAACAGGATATTTTGAAAAATTACTTCTACAGACACTTTCAATTTTTACTTAGAAATAGATAAATTCATTTATTTGATAAAATGCAAATACAGTAGAGCGTCGTTTATCCGAAAGCTGGTTATCCGAAACGTCTGTTATCCGAAAGCATTCCAGTCGGCAAATTAAAATTTTCGCTAGATTTGTGGCGCTGCAATCTTCGGCTATTTCTTGGGTTACTCAAATATTTTACATTTTTGATACTAAATTAACATGTGAAGCATAATTTTTTATTGTTTTCATATTTTTCAATATATTTATTTTGTTTGCACAAAATAAAAAAATAATTTTTAACGATACAATAGTCTTCGTTAGGCTTAACATCGACGAAAATTCAATGCGAAGCGACACGCAACGGAGAAAAATTTCAACATGGAATAAATTAACATATTTTTACGTACATGATTCGTTATCCGAAAANTTTCCACTCAAAACTAAAATATGAATAAAGGTTTATGGCTTTGTGAAACTTATTTTTTGAGTTTATGCCATTGAAATAAATAAATAATAAAAAATTAAAACATTTGTCGGTTTTGTTTACACCTTTATTGGGCCGCATTGGAACTTGCCTTGGGCCGCATGCGGGCCGCGGGTTGGACACCTCTGCTCTACACATTCCTATCTAGACACATTCCTTTGCGCCTCTTCTAGCACATGTTCTCACATTATCTTTCTGACTCATTACCTTACATTCTTTCATATACTCATCCATTTGTTTCAACCAAGACTTTCTTGGCCTTCCTCTACCATACTTTCCACTCACTTTTCCCATGTACTCTCTTCAGCACTTCTTATTTCATCTTCTAAACATGGCCAAACTATCATAGAGCCAATTTTTGAACCACATTCTTTCATACCATATCTCTCCAGCACTTGTTTATTTCTCAAATAGTCTCGTTAAAAACACTCCCCTCAAATACCTCATCTCCCATGTGGTAATGCAAATCCTGTGATACTTGTGCTACCATACATGAATGCAGGAACTATAACTCAGCCATTCATGCCTGTTTGGACATCCTTTTGTCCTTTGCAAATTTACTCATTGCAGCCACCATCTGAGCTCCAGCACTCGCTCTTCTGGATGATTTCATCAGCTATCCTTTCATTCTTATCTATCATGCTTCCAAAATATACAAGCTCATTTACTTGTTTCATTTTTTTACTATCCAGCTCAATCTTGCAATCCATTTGCTCACCTTTGTATTCAAACACAATCAGTTTAGTTTTACTCACATTCACTTGCAGCATATATCCTCACATGTCTCTTCAAGATCACTTCTGTATGTTCAAGTGTTTGAAGCTCTTCCTTACTCTTTGCTAATTGCAGTGTCATTTGCATACACACAAATAACACTCATTTATTTCCAATTTTCATTTCACACGCCTGTACTCTGGATTTTCCATGCTTGCATCCATGAAAACATTAAACAATTATGGGAACGTAATGCACCCTTGTCTTACACTCTCTTCAATTGTAAACCACTCAGACAATTTGTCATCCATGCATACACATGCTTTGCTGTTTTCATACATTGATCTCTCACCTCTAAGTAGTTTACCTCTTAATTCATAATTATGTAATACTTGCAGTTTCTGCCTATTCACTCTATTATATGCTTTCTATAGATTAACAAATATTACAAGCATTTTTCTACCCACGTTCTAACATTTCTCTACCATCATTTGCAATGTGAACATCTGGTCCATACATTCCTTCCCTTTCATAAATCCACATTACACTTTTCATATTTGCTTTGCAGTTAGTTTCTCAACTCTGTAAACCAACATTTATGCAAACACTTTTCCAGGTATGCTCAGCAAGCTTATGCCACAGAAGTTCTTGCAGCTTGTCCTTTCACCCTTTCCCTTCTATATTGGAATGCTCAAAGCATTTCTGTAATCATACAGCACTGTGCCCACATAAGTTGCAGAGTCAGAGCATCCTTTACCATTTTCCTTATACCATTTTCTCACATTTTTCCCTTCGTATTTTAACATTTCTGCAGTCACACCATCTAGACTAGGAGATTTCCATTTCACATTCTTCTTATTGAATTTCTAACCTCACTCAGTTGAATAAGGCCACATCCATCATTGTCATTATTTTTCTCTGCAACTGTTCCTCCAATTATGCTACTGCTCCTCAATAGGCTCTCAAAATATTCACACCATCTATTATGCACCTCACATTCATTCCATAGCAGCTCACCATTTGCACTTTGTACACAGGTTCACTTTTCTTTCTGTTGCCAGTATACTTTTCATTTGCTTTTAGAACAGATTTCTATTTTTTAAATGCTCCTTGTAAACACTCAATCCATTTTTCATTCTGTCCCTGCTTTTCTTAATCACTCGTGCATCTTCTCATTTCTTCACTCTGTATTCCTCTTCACTCACATTTCCATTCAGTTAACTCATGTATGCTACCTTTTTCTCTTTTACTGCTTCCTCAAGTCTCTCCTTCCATCACATAATCCTTTTCTCATGGTCCACTATTGTTATATCATATGCCTCTTTTGCTGCTTCTATCACATAAGATAAGAAATGTTTTTAAACCTCTTCTATATCAATCGACTCCTCATCCACTTTCCCCAGTTTCAACTCAACATGCTTTCTAACCTACTTATCAGATACTTTGTTATCACTTGTTGCAGAGCCACTGTTTTCCTCCTCTTGTTCTACTATCTACTCTTCAGTTGCACTAAGTAATGGTCTAAGTCATGGTCAGCTCTTTTCATAACTCATGTATTCTTCACTACATCCCACATCTGTCATCATACATAACAAAATCTATTATTTGTACTTGATTGCCTATTCTTGTTTTAATTGTTAGGAATAAGCATGAGAAAATGGATCATATAGGAACAGACAACAAAGATAGATATACATGCTTTATTAATTCTGGAGGATATATATTTTAGACAATATGGTCATCATCAGTTTTTTAGTTTATATCAATTGGCTATAAAAACATTACAAACTTTATGTATATTTTTAACAATAACTTAGTTATATAACAAACACAATATTACCTGGATGACAGAAATTACAAATGGTTATAATAATGACACTAGATAAATTAATAATAAAAATAAAATACCTAAGTAAATCGTAAATTAAGTAAACTATAAAAATTGTATTAAATTTAATTGTGTAAATAAATATAAAATTGCAATGTTTAACAAAAATAAAATACTTATGTTATTCTTCCATTGTTTGCTCCAATGACAGTTCACAAATTCACAAGCACGGAGGTGACCATTCTTTTGATTCTACTACCTCTGCAATGAAATGAAAATATGGTAAAAAAATATCCTCTGGTGCTATTGCCATCTTCACAGAAAATATATTTTAAATAAACAGTAAATATAAAACATGACCGACAGTATTACATTTAATTGTATAAATAAATATGTGTATGGCAGAAGAATAATGGAAGCAAAATATTTTACTTTTGTTAAACGTTGCAATTTTATATTTATTTATACAATTAAATGTAATACTGTTGGCCATGTTTTATATTTACTATTTATTTAAATTATAAAAAGTTTTAAAATAAAATTTTAATAAAATGGATATCTGTTCATTATAAAATGGAAAGTATGGTAAAATTCTACTAAAAGACAGATATAAGGAAACTTGTATATTCTAAAAAGAAATAAAATCTATTAAAATTGTAAACAGATAAAATTATTAGTAAAAGAAATATCTGTAAAGTATAAATGGAGAGAGTGTAATAAAATACTATTAAACTGTAAAATATAAAATGTTGGTAAAAAGGAATTTTCTATTTTCTAAAAGGAATAAAGCTTATTAAAATGTTAAAAGAAGGTGTGACTATCACCTAAACTCAATGGACATTACAATGTAATATATAAAGATGGATTGGGTGTCAAGTGGGAAAGGGGAGGCATCTTAAATGGACTCTTCTTAGAACTGTAGTAGTGGTTGCTAGATCTTACTAATGACAGTGCCAGTGTTCAATCAAAATCCCATGGTCTGAATAGTATGAACACTAATTTTGGTTGAAATTGGTCAAACAGATTTTGTACAATTGAGCTCGAAATATCTCTACTTTAATTATGGCCATCCAGTATATATAAACATAAAAATGCAAAGTGCTATGTGAGATTATCAGCTGGTTAGGATGTTACCAAAGGGTGGCTTGTTGCATATGGGGTAGGTATGAACAATTGAGGTGATGCACTCAATATCATACACCATTTATTGGAAAGAGAGAAAATTCTTTCAACACAATGTTCTCAGTGTGATTCAAGTTACATGTTTCTAGATTGGAGAATTTAGGCTCCATCTTATAGATGAAAGTCTCTAAATTCTTATGCTGTCATCGGATGAATTTGATGATCCTTGGCTGGTTGGGCTGAAGGGAAGTCTGGTTGATGTTGTCTGACACACTTCCTTCTGTGTGAAATTTTGATGTCATAATTGGATGGGTTGATGCCATAACCAGTTGGTCACTTTAGCAGATAAATAAGGTTTAAAATGAAGAATAGTGAGGAGATAGAGCAATGGTCTTTCCGTTGATCAAGAGAGAGGATTTTACAGACAATAGAAATATACTAGGAGCTTAAATGAAAGGCACCTGGTCTATGAAAGACCTAATAGAGAGAGCGCACAGAACAAGAATGAGGAACTTTGTTGAAAAGAATGTGACAAGGAACTTTGTGTTCTTGAGACAGGTTTATATCTGTTTGGGTCTTTGATAATTCATCTCTATTGCTTTCTTATTGGTCTCATACCTGTTTCCAGGGGTAGCACAAGACCAATTCAAGCTGTGAGAGAGGTTGATCATTGATGTTTAATTAATATGATGATGATAAATTCCAATACCAACAGAGACAATTGATCTTAAGACTTACATTGCTTATTCATTTCTGTACAAAAAAATTCTAAAGGAAATATTTTGTGTGTGTGTCCTTTTTTTATAAACAAAAAATGAATTTTTTACAAGTTTGGTGGGACTCAGACCCAGTCAAGAGTTTCAAAAAAATATATATAACAAGTTTCCTATTTAGAATACATAAAAATGTATATTTGATACAAGCAGAAAATGTGAGAATTAAGTATAATAGAATATTATCACTTTGTAATCACTTTGGAATGTCTGCATTAGTAACATTAAATGACATGAAAATTCAGACATTAAGAAATGATAATTAATGAGTTTGATATTAAAAAGGATGTGTTAAAATAATTAATAATTAATTAATCTGCTAATTTTACAGTTTTTATTATTATTAATTAATAATATATTTATATAATTCACCCAGTATTGCCAAACTAATTTTTTTCTTATTGTCTCTTAGTACTGTATATTAGAGCTAAGAAATTCCAGCATTTCAAAAATATTTGAGAAATGGAGAAAGAATAATTCTTTTTCTTCTATCAATTTCTCTGTTAAATATTTAAGTGTTGTCAGATAATAAAATTTCAAACAAAGCCACAATGTCTAATAATAATAAGCCAGAAACATTTTTCAAAATTACAAATTACAAGTATCCCTTAATTAACACGATTAATTAATCCCTAAATGTTATTATGTACAGTGGGTGATCGGTTAACGAACATAATCCATTCCAAGACTTTGTTCGCTATCCGAATTGTTCGTTAACCGATTATCGATTTACCATAGGTTTCTATGAGAATTTAATTAATTCGTTCTGAAGACCCCCAAAAATAAAAAATATATACTTTCTTACTACGTTTATTTATATGTAATAATAAAAATACATACACACACAGTCTTGCATTTTTATTAGTCATATTTTTTTTCCGCTTGAAATGGTTAAAGAATCTGTCTAATTTCGATTGCTTTCCTCTCTTCAGGATTTTTCGTAAGTAATTAATAGCATTGCAATTGTAGAAATCCCCAAGCTTCAACCTGGTTTAGATGCCATTCTAAGACCGTTGTTCTGACATCCTCCCACTTCTTCAAAGGATCTTTAATAACAGATATTGGCATTAATCCTCTTTTTCAGAAAGAATCATATCTCGCCGAGATTCTTGGTGTTCTTCATTCAAGAGTTCTTGGCGTTCTTCTGTCGTCAGATCCGTTTCAGGTTCCATTATGAACTCTTCGATGTTCTTTATTTCTCAGATGTGATTTTTGTTACTCCTTTAGCTGCTTGAGTCTTCTGGATTATACAGTATTTTTCTTAAATAAGATTGAACTGCTGCCTACTTTAGACCTGTTCACGCCATACTGCCCAGCAACATTAGGTATCTTCTGCCCACTCTCTACCTTTGCTATTATACTCTCACCTTTCGAAAAGAAAAACAGACGCAAAACTTAACGAGTGCCTACCCGACAGTCTCGCGAATACATAAAAGAATTATTTTGTCAGAAAACTAAAAGGCTGAAATTACAAGGGAGAGTTTCAAAGTTCGGAGGAATACTATATGATCGGTATATACTGGCTTGAGCGTCGATGTCGACGTTTCTCACACTCCGAAAAGTTTCGAATTGTTTCCTGAAGACATGGGAAGACCAATCGGTATTCACTATTTTACATCGCTTCTTCTTGTGTTTGTTCCGTGAGGTGTTCGTTATCCGATCATGTGTTCGTTGTCCGAACATAAAAATCTTTCGCGAAAGTGTTTGTTATCCGATTTGTTCGTTATCTGATCTGTTCGTTAACCGATCACCCACTGTATATCAAAATTGTGTTAATCAGTTACAATGGTAGCTGTACTCAACCAATCACCACTTGCTAGAACAAATATTCAGTTAATAACAAATATATTTATTTTAATTTTGTTATCCGTAAAAAAAGCCTTCTATGATAAAAATGAGTAATAACTAATTTACGTAGAGTTACCTACCTTTGTCTGACAAAATTATACTTGATCCAGTTTGTTTTTTCACTTAATGCTATGCCTTGCATGCATTTTATCTGCAGACATTTAGATTTGATTTTATGCAGTGTGAAATGAAAAGCTTTAAAATAAGCTTCTAAACAAAGAAAATAATCTCACATTAGCAGTAGTTTGTTACATTTCACAACTATTGTAATTAAACTACATGTCTGAATAGGAAATCGACATCAGCACGAAAATAGCAAATTCACCAACACCTTTGCTGAGAAAAATGTATCTGTTAAGTAAAGACAACTGGTAAAGTGTATTAATTAAATCTTCAGCTGCATATATCAGGTCAGTCCATAAGTTCGTGCGCATTTTTATCTACAAAAAAAGCAACAAAAAATTTTAATTAAATCTTATTTCAATCTATAATGTATTCACCATTATTTTGTACAATTTCTTGCCATCTTGATGGTAGCTTTTTAATCCCGTCTTTGTAAAATGATTTCGGTTTTGAATCAAAATATTCAGAAATAGCCTTTTTTACATTGTTCTCATCCTCAAAAGTTTTTCCTTTTAAAAAATTCTGCAAACTCCGAAAAAGATGATAATCACTGGGAGCAATATCTGGCAAATATGGTGGATGAGGTAAAATTTCCCAGTTGAAGCTTTTGAGTTGAGCAGTTGACGTTGTTGTCAGTTAGCTATTGACAGTTCATGTGGTATCCATTTTCCTAGCTTTGAAACTTTTCCGATTTGTTGTAGATGTCTATGAACAGTTCCATGGGATGAATTTAAATGTTTCGCAATTTCATCAACTGTTAAAGATGGTTCTGCTTCAACTAGTGCAGAGAAAGCATCATCATCAAAGTCAACGGGTCTTCCAGTACGAGCCTTATCCTCCACACTAAAATCATTATTTCTAAATCTTTCAAACCACTTCTGCATAGTCCTTACACTTGTTACAGTTTGATTATAAGCAGTATTTAATTTGTTGGCTGCATTTGTAGCATTCTCACCACTTAAAAATAAAAAGTATAAAACATGTCTCTTATATTCATCTGTTACTTCCATTTTAACGAAAATAAACAACTGAAATGTTCCCAATTCTGAACAGTATTATATGAATGAGATCCAATTTAACACTTCAGTGTAAAAAATATCACATTAGACTGGCATTTTTAACAGCAAAACATGATTTTTCTCAAGGTCATAAAATTTACGCATGAACTTATGGACTGACCTGATATAAAGGGATTGTTGTAATTAATTTAGCATGTCAAACAAGGGATGCCTATATATGCATAAAAAGTTTTTTCTTTGTCACACCAGTATGTCACATACCTTAAAGCAGTGATTCTCAAACTTTTTCGATCCACCGCCCCCTTTGTTCCATAAAGTTATACCCAACGCCCCCTAACCCATTTTCTCTTGTGTGAGAAAAAAATTGGAAATATTCTTAGGAAAACTTTTCTATGAATCTCACACTTTGTGCCCTTACTGTACATTGTTCTCATCATCTGGAAACCATTAAACGCAATGTTTCCTCTTATCAGCCCCAATTTTGCCTTTGGTCACCGTTCAATACCCTGCCTCCAGCGCCCCTAGATCTATTCATCGCCCAGAAGGGGGCGTTATTGCTTACTTTGAGAAACGCTGAGCTAAAATAAAAGTCAATGTGTTAGAAATATTCAAGTTGTGACCTTAAATAAAAAATAAAAAATATATAAAATGTCAACATTTTATATATATTCCGTCGAATTTTTATATATAGAATTTGTCTGCCGTCGCCCCTCTATATTTCCTTAACGCCCCCCAATTCTCTTTGAGCCTTCTACTGCCCCCCTAAAAGCCTCCAGCGCCCACAAGGGGGCGTTATCGCCCACTTTGAGAAACGCTGCCTTAAAGGATTAACTAATTACATTTTTATATATATTAGAAAAATGTTTAAAGAATTTAGATAAATAATATTCAGAGAAAGACAATTTCGTAATTTAAGATGTATTATTTTATAGCTAGGTTAGAACCTTTGCCTGTTGCACCGTTACCTGAACCACGAATTCTGACAGAATCAGAATTGCAGCGTTTGAGGCAGCAAGAGAATGCAACTTTAACAGAACTGAGAATATTTTTAAGAGCAGTTTTGACAAAATTAGCAAAAGATAGGAAATTTTCCATTTTTGCCAAACCTGTCGATCCTACTGTGGTATGATTGATTTAACTTTTTATTCTTGGAGTATATCATAATTTTTATCATAATTAAATATATTTTCATAACTTTCTTTTAGAAATTAGAAATTACAAAATTGCATGTAACATATAATCTTATTTGGTACATTTATAATCATAATGACATATTTGCAAAACATTGTTTTTTAAAAGATAAAGCCATCTTGTGAACAATATTATGATTTCTTGTCACAAAATATTTTCAAATGTTTATTAATGTGTTTTGCTCCTCATGACATTGTCTTTATTCATTTTTCTAACATCTATGGATTGTTGTAACTTCATGCTGATAACCAGCAGTGGTTTACTTATAACACAAGACTCACAAAATTACTGCACCAATGTATATTCTGTATTTTTAAAGTGACTTTTAAAGACACAACATTTGTCAGTATGCTGTTTAAAAACATATCATTTGAAATGTGCTGTTTTTCCCACTTTTTAAACATTTTTTTCTATTAGCAGTTCATTGTACAGTACATGTAATGATATAATAAGTGAAGTAGGAGAAATGAAATTTGAAATGCAACTGTTTAAACTATATTGTACCAAAAATGTTTTCAAATAATGAAACTTATATTTATTTATTTCATTTCTATTTTATTTATCAAATATTACAAAGGAAGCACCATAAGTTTCCAACATAATATACTGCACATGACTGATAGACATTTCAAGACAAGTACATAAAAGATTAATGTGTTATTAGTGTTTGATGCAAATTTAACAGCTGTAGCACTGAAAGGTGATTTATAGTGGACTTCTGTATATGACATGGCAGCAAATTCTAGAGTATTGGACAGTCATAAGTTTCTTTAAAAAGAATGCCATGGAAATCAAGTGATGTTTAGATCATGTATATGAGGGAGGATCCAAAAAAAAAACCGAACTGAGAGCGCGCTGCAATTTGTAGACATGGTAGAGAGTTCTCCCGTTACATGGGGTTAGTAGAGACCTTCACGAAACAGCTGTGCAAAGGATGTCAGTTTATAGGTTTACGTTTGAGCATAGTGTTGTGTTTCTCTTACTGTTATTTTGTTCCGCCTGCGAAGTTCTGGGCATCCTTCAACATATCGAAACGATGAAAACGTTGAAAAATTGCCAAAACATGTTAAGACGTCTGCGAGAGGATGTGCGAAGAAAACACCCAGAACTTTGGTGATCAGGTGACTGATTCATTCATCATGACAATGCCTCCGCACACATGGCCTTACGAGTGACCCATTATTTGGCCTCTCGGGGATGGCCTGTCATTCCCCACCCCTCCGTATTCACCAGACCTAGCTCTGTGTGACTTTTTTCTGTTTTCAAGAATGAAGAAAAATCTGGAAGGGAAGCATTTTGATGATGTGGTGGCAATAAAAACAGCTTTGCTAAGGGCACTGGACGATATCAAGGTTGAAGAGTTCCAGAGATGCTTCAGACAGTGGGGAAAAAGACTTGACAAGTGCATCGCATCTAATGGAGAGTGCTTTGAAGGTGACTGAAGGAATTTTGTAAAAAAGTTAATAAATAAAGTTTTTATACAAAAAATCTGGTTTTTTTTGGGGTCCCTGCATGTATGGGGAAACTTTGTAGTCATAAACCATTGTCAAAGAATGGGCTAAATCTTTTGATTAGAACCAGAATCCCTTGAAGATGTTGTGAAATCTGGTCATTCAGTAGATGCAGTAACCTTGGAAAAAATTATTGGGTTGTTCGGAAAGTAATTTCGTTTTTTTTACCACTAGATGGATTAGTCGTATTTTTCCTGCCATTTTCATTCTAAACTGTATTATCATTATATATTTTGACAGCTAGCATTTTAAGGCTTATTTGTAAAAAATTTTCTTTGATTTGGTGCAATTGTTTATTTTTTGTATCCCATCAAATATGGAAGATTGAAAGCAGCATTTTCGGCATATTTTGCACTTTTATTACCAAAAAGGTAAGAATGCTGTTCAAGAGAGAAAAAAATTGTGAGACATGTATGGAGAAGATGTATTGACAGAACAACAGTGCCAAAACTGGTTTACAAAATTTCATTCTGGCAATTTCAATATTGAAGATGCACCGTGTTCCGGATGGCCAGTTGAAGCCAATGAAAACAAAATAAAGGTATTGATTGAAGCAAATTGCCGAATAACAACACGTGAAATCACTAAGATTAAATTTGTCAAATTGAACTGTTTATGATTAATTGAAACAAATTGGTTTTGTTTCAAAGCTCGATATATGGGTTCCACGTGATCTTAAAGAGAGATGCTCTCTTTGGTGGGATTTTAAGGAAATTTTTTTGGAGCTTTTACCAGACAGTTTAACAATTGATTCGAAAATGTACTGCCATCGAGTAAACAAATTGAGTAATATCATCAAACAGAAAAGGTGGCCAGAATTGATCAACAAAACAGGTGTAGTGTTTTACCACGATAATGTCAAATTTCACACAAGTTTGGTAACTAGTCAGAAACTGTTATAACTTAGATGGGACTGTGCTATCACACCAACCATATTTGCCAGATCGAGCACACACAGATTATTACTTGTTCTGATCTATACAAATTTTTTTTAACTGTAAGACATTTACTTGAAATGACAATGTCAAAAATCGCTTGGATCAGTTTTTTGTAAGCAACGATCAAAACTTTTATGAATGTGAAATCATGCTACTACCAGGTATTTGACCAAAATGGTTGATATATAATTCAATAAAATATTTATTATAAAAATATTGTGATTTTTTTCCACAGAAAAAAACAAAATTGCTTTTTGAACAACCCAATAGATATAAGTGTTTGGTGTATATTTCACGAACATCTAGGCATGAACAAAGTCAGTGCAAGATGGGCTCCTAAACTTCTTTCTGCTGTCCAATGACAGCAGCATATAGAAAAGAAAAGTGTAGAGTTGACTTTGAACCTTTAGAAATTGGGTGGAGTTGATTTTTTGAAATCTATTGTTACAGGGATGAAACTGTGATCCTTTATTATGATTCCTTTTCCAAAATAGAATCAATGGATTGATGAAAACCATGGAAAGGAGCCCCAAAAAAGACTACTGTTACATTCAACCAAGAGCTCATTCAAAGGCTACTGATTTTTGGGACTGTGAGGGCATATTGATGGTAGATTTTAAAGAAAGAAACAATAAAATAAATACAAAATAATATTCAATGTTACAACATCAACTGTGTGCAAAGATATGCAGAAAATGAAGAGGAAAATTAACAATAAGAGTTCACTTGTTGCATGACAATGCACCCATCCACACCGCAGCAGTTGCTGAAGCTGCCATTGAGGACTGTGGCTTTTAGTAGCTCAATCACCCATCTTACAGCCCAGATCTGGCTCCATCTGACTGTTTTTTTCTTTCCGGATTTAAAAAATTCCCTTTGAGGAAGATATTTTGATAGTTTTACGGAACTACAGACAGCAGGAATGGACCATTTTAAACAAAAATCTTCAGAATATTTTTATAAAGGAACTGAATTGCTCTTTAAACATAGTCATAAGTGCAATGAAATCAAGGATTATTATATTGAAAAATAATCATTATTTGTTTTTTCTCTTGCCTTTTCTCACGAGGTCAAAAACTTATGGATCATCCTATATATATTAGTTGTTATTATTATTATTATTATTATTAATTATAATTATGCTAATTAAATAGAGAACATTTCCATGTTGCGGCATTATTGACAGTGATCTCTTAAATTTCAGATATACTCGCTAGTACTTTCAACAGTTTACAACCATCGTCTTCAGGCGAAATCGAATACTTTTGTTTTCGAAGGTATTCGATTTCGCCTGAAGACGACGGTTGTAAACTGTTGAAAGTACTAGCAAGTATATCTGAAATTTAAGAGATCGCTGTCAATAATGCCGCAACATGGAAATGTTCTATATTTAATTTCTAAGTGCTGGCATGAAGTGAACTTTACTTTCATTCATAATTATGCTAATCCTCACCTTGTCAAGGTAAAATAGGTTAGACGTTCCAGTGAACTGTATGACAGTGACAGCGAGAGCACAAGCTTCCAGTGGGCCAACCATGATGGTAATGTTTATGGGAAGAAATAAAACAAAGAGTGACTCACAAGCAGCATATAATTCAGAGTGGATGACTGTTGAATGTTGTTCATTCTTCAAATTGGGGCAGTTGATATATAAATACTTTGATTTAGTTATCTAAATACAACAAAATAGTCATGACATGTTCTTGGCATAATACTAGCTTGGATTTTACTTGGGTTAACAAGGTTCACATTTGTGGGCTAGGTAGAGGCTCACATTTGAAAAATCTGCTATGGTCTCCTTTGACCATTGGAAAATCAGGAATTTTCTAGTGGGCTATTTGCTTATGCTTCTTCCTTATTTTAGTATGTTATATTTTACCTGAGAAAAATAAATTAATAAACAAAATACAAGCACTGTCTGTCTGTCTATAATAATAAATTATAGACAGACAGACAGTCCTATTCTAAGTCAAGCCGTAAATCGCCATGGTATGTCTCATATAAATAGATTCCTGGTTCATGGCACGTCTATAACTTGAAATTTTAGTCTGGTCCTAATTTGGATGTGTATCACTGTGAGTCAACCCATGCAAACTGACATTTGGCCTGCCATGATGTGCATTTTGTAACTTTTAATGAAAGTAACTGATTAAAACTTTGGCCATAGACTGCCATGACAGAGCCCACAATTAAATATGGGTTGAGTGAGAGTGAATTATACAGAAAGTTTAAATTGCAAGTGGTGCATTCTGCACAAGAAAATGGAAATCAAGCAGCAGGAAGTTTGATGTAGACAAAAAAACATGCGGCAATGGATTCAAAGGACACTCTTGAGAAAACATGACAAAATTGGCAATTGTTGCAGAAAGACAGCAAAATATCCTGACATGGAAGCAAATCTGTCGAGATGTATCTGTGAAATTTGGGCAAATGGATTTTCTGTATCTGTTAAAATAATTTAACAGTTTGAAGCCCAAAGGGAT